TACTCAAGCAAATTCAAATTAGAGATCGCCTACCCACAAAGAGGTCTAAATAAAAGGCCAGCGCCTTGGTGCACTCTGGGGAACTGGCTTCACCAGGATCCCACCTGTCAGGGGATCTCGCTAGTTGCTAGATCTTGCAGTTGCTAGTTTTAATACTTTTCCTGGGTTGGTAAAAGTGTTCCCCACTCTCAGGAAACTATTCAAATTGTAGCTTAAAAAGCTTTTCCAGGTACTGGTTCCCTGATTTGGCCTCCCCTTAGCAATGCGAAGGACAAAGACCTCCTTTTCTTAGCCAAACCATCTCAATTAATAAATAAAGCTCTACAACTTTATTGTGCATCTAGGACTCAGAGCTCTGGGCAGGTAGAAAGGATGTTAAAAAAAACCAAGCTAACAGAACTGTAATTAGAGCCCAGAAAAGGGAGGATAGGCCTCCTTCCTTGGCTTTGCTTGGTGCCTGCTGCATCCCATATAGGGAAAGATTTACCCCTTATCAAATTATGTTTGGAAGACCTCCCCAACTGCCTCATGGCTCTGAGATGACAGCTGGCAGAACTCTCCAGCCATTCCTTTCTCCAGTCACTACAGCACTCCGCTCCTCCAAAAAGACCCAGCTGACCTGCGAGTCCAGCACAGAGTCCAGTGATACTGTCTGGGTAGGGATGCTAGAACTAAACTGGAAAGAACCCTTCAAGGCGAGCCTCTGTACTTTTCAATGGTGAAAATAGCTGACATTACACCATGGATCCCCCATACTCAGGTCAAGAATGCAGAAACCACAGACACTGCTGCCGAATGCACTGTTTCTGGACTATTGAAGTTAAGGTCTCCTTGGCCCCTGGACCTTCCACTCCCTCCCCTCTATCTCCTCCTGAAACTTTTGTTTGGTATGAATACAAGGTTATGGGCCAACCTCCATTGCCCTCCGGCCTGGACTGTAAGCTGAGGAAGACAGATACAGGGAAGGTATTAGCCAGTATGACTACAGAACAGCAACCCACATTCCATCTTGATTTTTGCTCACTGATGCCCACTTTAAGTGTCTGATTGTATTGAAAAAAGAAAAGTTGTAGGAGTTTGTCTTTCGAGATAGGAATACAGAGGTTAAAATTCTATGCATGCTCTGCAGGGTGGGACCCCTGGTTGCCGCAAACAAGGGAGTTTTCACTGCAAAACTTGGGATTGCAAAACAGAGACTTCCTAAAAACACACAGATGAATACGTATAAAAATACCTCCTCTCAAAAAGTGCACAATAAAAAATGTAATCGAGTGGCCATAAAATTAGAAATATGGAAATTCCTTAAAAAATACACACACACACACACACACACACACACACACACACACACACACACACA